ATATATATATATATATATATAAAATATTAACTAAATGATGGCTAACCTTTTTGTTGTTGCATGCCGAAAGTGTGCGTGCACGCACGTGACAGCACACCTGTGTGCCCGCACCCATAATGCAATGCGTGTGTCTCCCTGCCGCATATGCCCTGCCCCCATGCATGCACATGCAACCCGCCTTACACCCTTCCCATGGGGTGGAGGGGCACATGCTCTCCCCCTACCCCGTGTATGTGCCCCTTACCCATTTTCTGCTTCCAGTTTGGTGCAGGAGGCTTTCAAGGCCCAAAACGGGCCACAGGGGGCCTCGTGCAGTGCCTCCGCACCCTATTTTGGCTTCCAGGTTGGTGCAGGAGGCCTTCCAGACCCAAAACGGGGCATGGAGGGGAGGGACATAGGCGATGGAGCTGGGCTGGGACAATGGCTGCTGTGCCCGCAAAGAGGGCTCTGTGTGCCACCTGTGGCATGTGTGCCGTATATTCGCTATCATGGCATTAACTTATCTTCCTATTCAAATTCTTTGGAATATTAGGAGATAAGAGCCAATGATATGAACCAAGTCTACCTTCAAGAGTGGTTGAGAAGAATAAAGAGTTCCAGTAGGGCTATCTCGTGCCCAGTCTACAAGAAACAAAGTGTTTGTCTGTGTGTGTGTGTGCGTCCGTGCGTGTGCGTGTATGTGTGCACCTGCAAGAGGAAAAGAAGGCAAGGGAGAATCTTTCTCTTTCTGTCTCTTTTTCCTGTGAAGTTTTTTGCATCCTTGGATACTGAAATAGGAAAATTATTTGATTCTGATATGGAATCATGTTAATTAACTTAAGTAAATGATGAACATTCAAATAGTGGCAACATTAAAACAGTCTATAGAGAAATAATGAGCTGAATTGAATTATTCCTTCTCCCCTATCCATTTTTCTTTTAATATATTCATAGCTTAGAATGAAGATAGAGGTAGCTGGGATCACCAGGTACTCCTGAAAGATACTGTTCTGTATTCATTTTCAATTAGTTATGTTTCTTTTCTTTGCCCCACCCCTTTTCATTTTGTAACTGTTTTGAGCATTTATGATCTTTGTGTTATATTTGAGAATATTAAGAAGTTTCTATTAGTTGGAGTCCTGGAAACGTGTACTTTAACCAAGAGTGAAATCTCATCCAATCTCCATGTGGCAAAACAATTTTTAATTTTGTTGGGTAAATAATAACTTCTGAGCCATGAAATGTTAAAAACATGGCACGAATCACCACCGTCAGACAGTCTGAAATCCAACACATATTTTCCTGGAAATATCCAACCAAAAAAATGTAGTTTTTTAAGGAGGTGCTGACAGGTGCAGATGTGTGCCTGAAGCATGTTTTCAGTACAGATCCAAACCAGAGCACATCCCTAGTGACAACACATAAGAGGCAGATAGAAAGAGGGAAATAATTCAAAATGCTTGAATTGTTATCTTGTTTCCCATTCCATCCTTTGGAAAGATGTATTTCCCTGCATGAAGAAACTTCTGTAGGAAAGAACCCCTATACCATTATTATTAATGGATTTTATATCCCTTTTTATTAGAATACTATAATTAACAACACACAGCAATATTTGAACACTATTTCTTTAAAAAAAAATGTAATAAAGACATTTATTTTCCCAAAGCTTTTCTGGAGGATTGTTGGGTTTCTTATATCCACACCTAGCAAAACCAAGAAAAACCCAGAACTCATAAAAGTACATTTTATTTTCTTTGTCAAAAATCCTTTATACATAAAAATGCATTTGATTAGCTATTGAAAACCCAAGTTGTGAAATGATGGCTTAAGTATACGGCTTTCTTTCTTCTCAACTCCCTGCCTGTACTGCATTCAAAATATAAATTGACAAATTAATGTATGATTTTCTTTTCTTCTAGGTTTTTGTTCCTCATCTACTTTCTTGTTCCACACACAAATAGATATAACTATCATAGTTTTAGTTACCACAATAACAGTACTTCTGTTCCACCTATTTGTAGCTGTTTATCCTAAAAGTGAATCTATCACTTACATTTCAGCTTGGAGGGAAGTAGTGAATACTCTGTCCTGAGCCCTGGGCCTTTCACAATTTTTTTTTATCAGCACTTGGATAAGGGGGAATTTATCAAAGCTGAAGCTGAAGCATAGCTGGGAGGAACAACTAACACCTCTGAAGAAAGAAAAGATGAGAAAAATCTAGAGAGTCTTGAACTGAAATGAATAAATGGAATTTAACTGGGAAAAACATACAGGTCTGCATCTGGACAGGGAGACTATAAGACACAAGTATGACACAAGGTAAATCTGGTGTGAGGTTTGTGTTTAGTGGCTTTTCCTTCCTCTCAGAACCTTCTCAATCATAAGCTAATCCTGAATTAGTTGAATCACAGCAGTGTGATGCAGCTGCTAAAAAGTTAAATCCTATCTTGGAGTTAAAGGAAGAAATTGTTTTGCTCTTACTCAATTGTAATCTGACTCCACTTGGAATATGAATCTCGTGCTAGGCATCGTGATGCACAAAGGACAGTGAAGTGAATTCAAAGAAAGGCAACCAAGATGGCAAAAGGTCAAAATTATTTCTTTTGTGAGGAATGGGTAAATGAACTGGGCACACCTAGACAACAAAAGAGATCACTCGAGGGGAGGGGAGATATAGCAGTCCCCAAATATCCAATGGCTAACATATAGTAGCAGGAATAGATTGGTTCTTCATTGCCCCAGATAGATTAAAACTTCAAGAAAAACTAAACCTTGACTATATAAGCTGTTGGCCAGTGGAGCAGGCTGATACCTGAAGTGATTAATTTTCCTTTAATGGAGGCATTCAAACTAGATAGATGGGCATCTGGCAGAGATATTATAATGGTTCTTGTATAGAGGAGTAGCTTAGACTGGAAGACCTTTAAGGTCCCTTCCCTTCTATGATTCTGTGAACTGTTCTATGAAAGCACTCAGAAAAATTCAAGAGGAGTAGCCTCCTCCATCCATCACCAGATGAAATAAAAGTCAAGCTGCAGATGATTGATATGTCACCTGGCTACATGGAGAGTGATGTCTCCTTGATTTCCAAACATCTGTATGATCCAATCTTGTGAATGATTGAAGAATCCAGAATTGTCTAAATTGTAAACATCAGTTAAGGATTCATTTATCCCTACCTGTTTTCCAGACAAAGGGAGGTGACGTTCTACTTTCCAAATCAGAGGCGTGCAAGAGGAAGAAGGCAAGGACTATTAAGCCCTTTTTCATGTTTTTCCATGCCCAGCGAGCACAAAACCAGCTATCCCTCAGAAACATACTTCATGAAGATCAATCCAGTTCACTTCACTATGCCTAAAAATGAAAGAAACAAAAGCTTGTTAAACAATGTCATCACCAGTTCATTTTTTTAAACCTATCCTAGAAAAAAAGGGTTTTTGTGTAATTTAGATACAGGGAAGTGCTTAGTCTCGGCTTGCCGCCATTTATTACTTTTTTTAAAAAAATGTCCTTAGGAATTCCACTAAAGAGTTGTTGCCCAACAAAAATTTAGTCCTCCAGCCACTTCAAAATATATGTCAAGATGTTGGTATAGAAGTACCTGTGATGCTCAGAATAAGTCCTATGTCTACATTTGATCTGGGTACTTGAGAGACCGCCTGCTGCCGATTACCTCCCACAGATCCATTAGATCTCACAGGGTTGGCCTCCTCCGGGTGCCATCTACCAGCCAATGCCATCTGGCTATTACCCGGGGG